ACGCCCAGCTACTGTGGCAGTTGGAACTTTAACGTCGGCTCGGACTTCATCTGTTCTGGGCACTCTCTGGCCATGTGGCCATACTGTCGACAAGCCCAACAGAGGGGACCCCTTTTGACGTGCCCCCGCAGCTGAATTATCCTGAGTGGAGTGGCGAGAGGTCATTTCCGGAGACCGGGGAGATTCAGCCTTCATCTGGGACACTTCCAGCCGAAGTTCTCTTAATTCTTTCCACAGGGGCTGGACCACAGCCTTTAAGGATTCTGAGTCTTCAGATGCAGACTGACCTCTTGTAGCATGGGTACTACTCACTATTCTCGCCGCCACAGGTATGCACTCCTCTCTCTCCACGGCGGGTAAGTAGATGCTGTAGAATGTCATGGTTGGGCGCTGTCCGGGTCATCTTTTGCAATTTGTCCTGTAAGAACTTGTTGGAGAGCCCCACTATGAACTGGTCTCATAGTAGCCAGTCCACCTCCTGGAAAGCTCACATGGCCTCTGGATCTCGTCGCTGTATTTCATTTAGTGTCTCCTGTAGGGCATTGGAGTACTGCATCAGGGTCTAGCCCTCTTGCTGTGGTCGGTTGAAGAATTGACTCAGCAGCTGCACTACTTTAGCACGCCCCCCTTGGACTCTCTCCAGCAGGGAGAATATTTTCTCTAGGGTATCTCTCTCAGATTCGGGCCTTACCATCACTGTCCGTCTGACGTCACCCTCTAGAGCCCCCAATGCAACCTCTGCCCGCAGCTCGGAAGTCAGGTTACACATTCTAACCGCACTTCGCACTCTTTCAGTCCAGTCCTGCAACGTCATCTTTTTACCGTCAAATTTTGGCAGATGACTCAACAGCACCCCCACGGGAATGTACCCTACTGGTACGGGCAGGGTGGAGGGAAGCTGCATCAGTGGTGTTGGGACAACTTGGTCTTGCACCGGCGCACCCTGAGGTGGGTCCTGGACCGGTGCCATTGGTGTCGGGGGAAGATCTCCCGCCGCATTCCCGTCCATAACAGTCGCTGTATCCTGCCGACTACGCCAAGTTGTAAGCCGTGTACTGGGGTGGGCTCCCCAGGATACAGTGAAGTCACGAACGAGGAAAGCAACCCCAACACCAGCTTTTGCCACAACAGAATTTTACTTAGATGTGGCAAATAAACACAACCACAAATGCTGGAAACATAAATAAATTTACATACACCCAGCCCACAGGCTGAGACCCTTGTGCTGCACAGCACGGCGCCTTCTGATGGATGAAGGTAGAAATTGAAGTAATTTACCTACTGGCGAGCACAACTAAACTGCCACACCTTACCTGTTATTACCCTAAAAGAGCAGGAATCAGTGTATGGGGGTATGGTATGGGCTAGCCTGCGGTGCAGCACAACAGCTTACAATCTTACACAACTCTGCAGTATTCCCCCTCCCATAACTGGTCCTGTAGCACATGCCTGAGTATTCCTTCTGAGCAAAACGCCAGTCTGGCTTGAGTTTGTAGGATTTTATCAGCTCTCCAATGTGAAATGTTACTTTAAGTTGTGGAGTCCTTCCAATAATCAGTAACAACACTTGTGGCCTGACACAAACAGAGACCCTAACTAACTATAGGCCTGGTCGCAGTCTATCAGCGCCAACACTGAAATGAGGTGCGTGCACGATCTTACCAACCCGGGTCTGCTTTGCATCCGCTGGTGACTCTGAACAAAACAAATGTCTCTCCAACAGGCCTGCGATATTGCAGTGTATGCTGCGTTGTTCCTCTGCTCTCATCAGCTTCCTGGCAGAAATCTCATCAGCTTCACCCAGCTGCAGCTCACATGGCCCCTTCATTCAGCATTCTCCAGAACATGGCTCCTGCATTCAGCATCGTCCAAAACATGGCTGCAGTCTCCTCTTCCTGTTCACTAAAAACCCCAACTCTGTGTGAAAACCCCACTTCTTCATGAATATACAAATATCTATGCAGTCTGAGCCTGTGTTAGAAAAACAGTGACATCTTGTGGCTAAACCGCAGAATGTCAGTCAAAACATCAATTTACTCCACACCATAATTTACTGCACACAAACAGTGTTCAAACAATGAGAGCTGTTTTCCCCATCTCACACCACTCTGGGGAGATCTCAAGCTTGCAGTTCATGAAAGACATCCTTTGCCCAGAAGAAAGTGCAGCTATACCACCTGGAAGAATTTGGGGCCTTACAGACAACTATTACAAAAGACTGCACACTGTCATTGGTTTTAAAGTGTGCAAAACACAGTATTAGGAACTAAGGGTATGCAGACCTTTGAACAGGGGTCTTTTTATTTGTTTACTTGTTTTTGATTTATGATTGTGCCAGTCTGTTATGACCTACAGCTGAATATAAGTCCCATAAGAAATAAAAGAAATGTGTTTAGCCTGCTCACTCATGTTTTCTTTAAAAATGGTAATACTGTTTATTACCAATACTCCAAGGGTATGCAAGCTTTAGAGCACAACTGTATGTTTGCTGCATTGCCCACCTCTCAGTTGGCCTACTTCTGGACGTCTCAAGGGTGAAAGGCTTTTTCTATCTCACAATGGACGAGAAAGAAAATAAGATTTTTGGACCCACTGTAAAATCTTTTTCTTAGAATCCATTGAGTCATATATTTCCCATCCCTCTGTGTTTCTGATCATGCTGAGCCTGGCTGGCAGCAGTTTGTATACCAGTGTCCTGTCTTCCTAAAGGCAGCAATCAAAGGTGAGAACAGAAATGCTTTTTTTAGACTATTTTAATTTAATACATGATGTACCATATTTTCTGCTGGTTGCCATTTTTTTCTTTTGCATTTGTTTTGTGGTTGAGGAATGGTGAAATGCATAAATATATTCAATTAATGGTTGTTGCAGGGTTGTAGTACAAGAACAGACATTCTGTCATTCATAATGTATGTAGTATCTTAGACTGGTAATAATGCTGTGAGTATAGACAGTTTTTGTTTTTTTATTTAGAGATTTTTGGGCTGATTCACTAAAGGAAATTGTGTGAATATTCACTAACATTATCCATATGAAAATAAATAATTGCACTTCTTTACTACTTCCTTTAGTAAATCAGCCTTGTGTTGAAAATGTAATTCCTTGGCACCGACAGTACACATATATGCAGCCTCTAGGCAGGTGGGCCTTAACGCCGAGAGGCTGAATATATGCGTACCAAAATGTAAACACAGCTGTGCACAGTGCGCACCCTTGCACATTCCCCGCGCAACAGAAAGTTCCCAATTGCCACTAGCGATTGGGAGCTTTCCAATCATGTGACCGCAGTGACAGCCAATCATGGCAGTCACATGATCATAAGCCCTTCCCTGCCTCCCATATAGAACCCCTTAAAGGGCCAGGAGGCACTGGTGCCAAGAGGGTAAAAAAACCCCCCACAATATCTCATGTTCCACATCTTGTGTCACTGTTTGGTGATCGTAAATAAAGTTCCTTCCATATATGCATTAATCAATATATTATTGGTAAATGAAGTGGTAGTGTGTATAAACCATCAGTCCTAGTAGTAAAACATGCATTGTATCTGATCAAAGTGCATTATTCCCTCCATGTCTTTAGACTAGAACAGTCACACCACACTTTTAACTTCTTTAAGTTAAAAAAAAGTCAGATAGCGCTTTTTCAACAATATGTCCTGTGGTCCCTTCAAGAATCAGCCGCTTTTTCAACAATATGTCCTGTGGTCCTTTCAAGAATCAGCCGCTTTTTCAACAATATGTCCTGTGGTCCCTTTAAGAATCAGCTGCTGGGTTCCTCTCCTATAAGGCCTTTTCTAGTACCTCCACCCCTTTAGGCTTCGTTCACACCATATGTGCAGAAAAAAATTGATGGAAACTGATGTGTAGATTTCACTTGCGGAGACATCAGTTTACATCAGTTTTCATGCGCGCTCCAATGAGTTTTATACACGTTGCAGATTCCTGCACAGAAAAAAATCAGCATGTGATACTAGTATTGTGGTGTGAATAAGGCACATAGAGAACAATTGATTTTGCTGTGCCCTTGCAGAATGCATGCAGAAAAACTGATATCTCTGCACCATGGTGTGAACGAGCCCATAGACCCTGACCCTTTCCAGTGGCTGAAAACACATAGATGTGAAACCGTGTTAAACGGACTGTAGTGAGTTTCTGCAAAATGCAAAAAGCACTAAAAAATGCATAGGTGTGACCCAGGCCTTAAGAATACACAATGTTGCCCCACGTTATAATCATCAAGAGAACAATGAAAAGAAGGAACCGCATATAGTGTAGTAATTATTTGTGTGAATTCAATAAAGACAATATTGTACTTACATTAACCACTTGCCCTCCAGAGGATTTATTCCCCTTCCTGACCGGGCCATTTTTTTTTATTACGGCGCTACGTTACTTTAACTGAAAATTGCGCGGTCATGCAACGCTGCACCCAAATGAAAATTATATCCTTTTTTCCCATGAATAGAGCTTTCTTTTGGTGGTATTTGATGGCCTGTGCATTTTTTATTGCTCGCCCTATAACAAAAAAAAAAATAAAGACTGACAATTTTGAGAAAAAAAAACAGTATTTTTGACTTTTTGCCATTAAACATGTCCAGTAAAAAAATTTAAAAAATCTAATTTAATCATAAATTTAGGCCAAAATGTATTCTGCTACATGTATTTGCTAAAAAAAATCCCAATACATGTAAATGAATTGGTTTACATGAAAGTTATAGCGTTTACAAATGGTGGTATATATACTGAGTTTTTTTTATTTTTACTAGTAATGGCGGCGATCAGTGACTTATACCGGGACTGCGGCAGGCATTCTGACACTGGGGGGGAACTGACTTGGTGTCGCTGACATCCCCAGTGACACCAATACAGTAATCAGTGCTAATAAAAAGCACTGACACTGTACTAATAGCACTGGGCAGGAAAGGGTTCACATGTGGGGTGATCAAAGGGTTAACTGTGTGCTGTTTCACATTATGTGCTGTTTGTGTGCTTCACTGTAAGCACACTGCTTTGTATGGCTGTATTATGCACAGTCATGCAAAGTAGTGTGCAGAAACTGACAGGGGTGAGAACTGTATTGTTTACAAACAGTTCTCCCCCCGTCAGAGATGCTCGGCGAGTAATAACCGGCTGGGACTCAGTGATTGACAGCTGAGGCCGCGAGTGGCACCCTGTACCTGAAATTGCAAAATCACGTATATATACGTGATTTTGCGCACCAGTGCCACCCTGTAGCAGTACTTCTGCTATAGGGTGGACGGAAAGCGGTTAACATTATCAAAGTGCTCACATTCATGAAAAAATATGCGTTGTGCTCAATTCTATTGCATTTTTTCCTTCGTATCTTTAAACCAAAAACACATATCGCACTCACAGCATGGTGTTAACTTCTGAAGGGAAGTCAAATGGTGCTTTTACTTCAGTGTGTCAAGTGTATAACAAATGGTGGTGCTAGGTACCTTAACTGTCACAGCCTGTGGACCCCTCTCCTTGCGATACCACTTTGCCTTTAAGGGTGTTCAAAGCTTGCCCTACATTGCACCATTATGAGAGAGTGAGGAAAAAACCATGTACACTTAGTCATTTTTTATTAAAAATTGAATAAGATTAGTATTGCACTTATATTTGTATGAAGACTAATAGCCACAGAAAACTGAAGACAGGAACGCCTGTTTGTGTTCCACCCGCGTTCCTAATAGTAGAAGTGATGTCACCAGAAGCCACATCCTACACTTTCATCATCTACATGTGACAGCTCCTGATTATACCATGTATTAGATTGGTAAGATAGATAAGACTACTTACCCCCTTTGTTTAGGGGTCAGGGAGATACAAAGTTCTTTGCAGATGAATAGTAACTGGGTACAGAGCCCTGTGTAAGCTGTAAATTGTGAGCTTCCTTGAGCTTGGGACTCTCTTGCCACTCCCATGCAGTCTCTGCTCTCTCTGGCGCTAAGAGCCTGAGATGCGACTGAACAAACACAATCCCTGTCATGTAAGCCCATATTATTCTGGCTATTCTATGTCATTTATCAAATATCTGCAAAGTAAAGCGATTATATTTACCACTTAAGCTCTGGTAGATTTTGCACCCTTCATGACCAAGCATTTTTGTTATTTAGCACTGCGCTATTTTAACTTTCTATTGTGTGGTCATGCAATGCTGTACCCAAACAAATTTATTTATTTTTTTCACACAAACAGAACTTTCTTTTGGTGGTATTTGATCACCATTGAGGTTTTTTTTTTATTTTTTTGCAATATAAACGAAAAGACGGAAAATGTAAAACAAAATTACTTTATGCTACAAAACACATCCAATAAAAAAAAAAAATAAAATTGGTTTGTGTGAAAGTTATTGCGTCTACAAACTATGGTATATATACTGGAATTTTTTTTTTTATACTATTAATGGCAGTGATCAGCAACTTATAATGGGACTGCAATAGTGCGGAAGGCAATCTGACTCTAACATGAAGCTGGAGGGAACTGACTAACTGCCACTGAAATTTCCAGTGACATTATTATAGTGATCAGTGATAATACTATACACTGTACTAATGACATTGGCTGGGAAGGGGTTAACATCTAGAGAGATCAAGGGGTATAAATGTGTGCCTAACAATATTTACTATGCTGCTTTTTACTAATAATCTCTTTGTTTCTCAGCCCTGCTTTGCAGAGATGCGAAACAGAGAGATTGTTCTCTCTGTTCAGAGCTCTGTGTTGATTGTCAACACAGAGCTCTGGCCTTTGATTGTACACAGCAGGTCCCGGCTGTGAATCATTGGTCAGGACTTGCTGACAAGCACAGCAGGTGCCAGTGGGTGAGGAAGGGGGGGGGGGGGGGGGTTCATGCATGCACCCTCCCAAACTTGACAGCAGGCAGTGACGTACGGATACGTTGCTGTTTTCCTGTGCGGGCCACCCATCCACAGCACACTGCGAATATATGCTTAGCAAGTGATAAAAAAACATTTTAAAAATATAAGCTTAAAAAAAATAAACAATACATATACAAAGTCATAGAATTCTTTAAATAAAAACAGAAAATATAAAAAGTATGCTATAGGATTTTTAATGTTTTGCGACTGATTATTCAAAGTTTTTGACAAACTGATATTTACATAAAAATCTAAATGCATGTTAGCTAAGCTGATTTTTTTTTCAATATACACAGTATTTGTGAATATTTTTACACAAAAAGACAATGTCAAAATATCTTTATATAATTTAAAACTAATCTGAAACAATACAATATATTAACTTTACAAAGGTATATTATTTTGCTATATAAAGCATCTGCAAAACCACATATTCTACTCCAGCATTATTGCACAATATCTATATAAAAATATCACGTCTTGTTTAAGTTACAAATCATAAAAATGCCTTTAGTATAGAAATAGGACAGCCTTAACAAACAGTGTCACTACCCAGTAACTCATAAGGGGCATGTCATAGTAACAATTCTTATTTTAATTTTTTTTTTTACTGAAGGGTTAAAAATTCAAATGACAATAAAATTCCAGTTATAGAATACATATGAGTGGGGATTAGTAAAAAAAAACTTGCACAAGAAAGTCATTTAAAGAGCAAACAGTTGATTCATAAAGCACTTAAAAATAAATATTACAAAAAAAGGTACAATCCCTGCTGGGTCTTCCTTGGATGCAGGCACCTGGTTATAAATTCTCCATGGAACATACAGAAACTAACAGTCTAGAAACAAGCATCTTAGCTAAAAAAGCCAAGTTTGTAGCCTAGCACAGTTGTGCTGGGAATGAGAAAGATCTGTTCTGAATGGAGTGGAGAAGGCTTTGATACTACACTGGGGTTTATTTTCTCATGCTACAGAGTGGAAAACAGGCTAATTTCTGCAGAGAAACCAATCAGCTTCTAACCTCAGCTTGTTCAATCAAGCTTTGGCAATACAACCTGGAAGCTGATTGGTTTCTTTGCAGACGTCAGCCTGATTTTGCACTCTCCAGCTTTAGTAAATAAACCCTGTGTGGTATCAAAGCCTGCTCCACTCCATTCAGAACAGACAATTGCTTTTACACAAAGTGTACCTATTGAGAAAAAAAGAGTAATTACATATATGATGCCATCTGTTCAGCAAACGTTTCAATTACACAGGTTGGGACAAATCAACTCTTGCTGTAAATGTTAAAAAAAAGTGTTAGCTGTAGTAAGATTTTTTTTTGTATTGTGTTTTTGTCCATTTAAAACTACCTGTTCATCTAAAGCTGGCCATTGACTATTAGAATGTAATTTGAAAATGTTCATTTTTGGAAGGTTAGCTCAATTTTCTGATGGTCAGTGGGGTCAAATCGATGGTCATTTTAAACCACGGATGGAAGATTTTTCTTGAATAAACAAAATTCTAACTGTGAATATGGTTTCCATTGAGGAAAAATCACACATATTGTAATGCACATGTTGTAGGCCCAAACCTGTTGGATTCCATTTAAGTAACAGGTCTGGATAAAATTTTAGGGGCTTTCAAGCAAAATGAGTTGATGGCAAGATTGAGTGTCCAAGCGAACAATTTTTCTGACTTTACATAGGAACGATCAAACAAAATTATGGTATGGTCAGCTTAAGACTACCTTGTCCAAAGGTGGTAACAATGCTGATTCACTTCAGTGCATTGAACAAACAGCATTATCAATATTACTGAAAATCATTATTATTGTCAAAAATAGTAGATCTACTTGTCATCTATAAAATGATGTTAAGGGGAGACTCAGATAAACAAAACTGAATGATAGACAGTAGTTACACTTTAAACACAGCCAAAATGTGGACAGGCATTGAAATTTTGGCACTTGCTGCCCCAGTGACAAACTGTGTGACTGGATGTGATGGGAAAAATATCACCAAGCACAGCAATGAAAGCTCAGAAAAGGTTCCATTTCCTATGCTGAAGCTGTATTTGCTGGGGTCTTTAACCCCCTATTGATTCCCAAAATACCTGGTGTGAATGAGCCCAACAAAGAGGAGCTCAGCAACTACAGTCTAAATTTTTTTTCACAATAGGCTTCTTCAAATGACAATCAGGCTACAACAAGGTATTCATTATCTTTGATCCCTTTAAGTATTCCATGGGAATTTTAGGATATGGGCGAGTGTATTAATCATGGTAGATGTCAAAACAGATGACAGACCTGTCAGTGGACTGTCCAGCCTTTAGACAAACATAGTACTTTGGAGTCTTTAGATTCTATATGCAATGTGATCTCTGCAGCTATTGATATTTTCAGCTACAGGACAAGATCACCCTAACATTATTTACAACAGGAGTCGTTTCAGCCTCTCAGATTTAGAGGGATATCACTTGAACCTGGATTTAAACTTGAAGTAAAAGAAGACCTTTACTAAATCAATCATAAAACATTTCAAATACTGTAATTTTTAAAAAATATCTGTACCAAGAAATTAAACTGGTGCCATTTTCTTAAGGCCCCATTCACACTTTGCGTAGTGGGAACTCACTTTTTCACTTGCGATTTTGCATGGGCGATTTTCACAATTCCACCTGTTGCGCATAAGGCACTTCAATGGGCTGTATTATGCGTGCTTGTCACCCAAACGAACCGGCTGCTCCTTTTTTGGGCAACAAGCTTCCCATGATTTTTTTAATTTAGCAACACTGCACTGCATTTGAGGTTGCCGTTTAGAATGATTGCTGCGTTTTGCAGCAACTGCCACATTATTTGGAATTGCATGCAGAATCAATGCAATTCCGCCCACAATTCTAAATCTCCAAGTGGGAATGGGGCCTATGCCTCAGTTCACATTAGAATGCGGTGTGGGAGGCCCGCGATGTGAGCGCATTTCCCGCACCACATTCAAATCACACTGCCCTTGCAATTTGCAGTGGGTGTCAGTGCAATGTTACTGATACTTCAAACACAGGTCAAAAAGGCAGTACATTTGCCTTCACCAGACCACATAGTACAAAACGATCATGTGATCTGGTTGCAGTGTGTTTCCAAACTTGGTGTATGCACAACT